ACTTGCTCCTGGGCCAGGCCTAGAAACAGCCTGCCTGGGTCCCTACCGGACGTCCAGGCCCTCCCTGCTGATGCAGCAGGGAGTGTCCGCTATCAGATAAACCCGAACCTGGCCTGAAACGGCCTGGTTGCAAACGGAGAAGGCCCAAAACGTGGCCTTTGTTCGAACAGACCGTAAGTCTGCTCAGACGAACTGCAAGTCCGAAACAACGCCTGAAACAGACAAAAATAGAACAGCAAATAAATAAATAAATGAATAAATAAATAAATGCTGCCTCAAATCAAACCCTGCGGCCCCAAAGGCTGACCATGGACCTCCAGGGCGCAGGCCTCAATGGCGTGCGGCCTGGGGCCCCCCAGCAACAGTCGGGCCCCCGAAACGGAGCCCGTGTGCAGGCTCAGCATGTAACACGTGTCTCAGCACCATAGCTTCCTCCTAACCCCGGGCAATGGATGGGAGGGGATCCTAGGTAAATTATTCTTCGTCTTTTTTTCTTTTTTTTTAATGGTTCAGGCTCCTTATCCATTCTTGGGAGCGTCAGTCCCGTTCCTCCTTTTTTTTTCCAAAAAGGCACGTAGCCGGGAAACTGGCCCGGCGTCCCTCACATCATTTGTTGCGGCCAAAAGGAAAGCCCACCCCCAGCACGGTCAGTCCCGTTCCTACTCCTTTTTTTTTTTTCTTTTTTTTTTAACACCAAGGTTGATGCTGAAGGAGCTGATAAGAGCAGACCCCTCTAGCATTTCCCCAGGAGGCTCCATCTATTGGTGGGGAGCTTCACCTGCTGGAAAACGGGTCCAGCGTCCCTTTACATTGAGCTTGTTTATTGATAAGCCTGCAACACTATGATGATTGCTGCCTAAGGGTACCTCTTCAACCCACTGAAGGGCCCCTGATCAGCCCTGAAAATCTAGTGCCCTTTAAGCAGAATACTAGATTGCTCTTTCCTTACTCCTGCACAAACCATTGCATTTCTACGATTGTTGTGGCTGCCGGGGGGAACATATCTGGAAACTTCCCTGGACTCTTCAGCGGAATGTCGGGATTGACTTGAAGCCACTGACAAGTCAATAAAATCATATTACAAGAATAACCCACTCTCACCCTCACCCTTCCTTCCGTCCCGCCGAAGGACCCCTGATCCCCATTGATTGCTCCGTTACTGGAGGATTGACTGTCAGCTTGTCAACGCGCATCCCTTAGCCATTTCCTTGTGTAAAGTGTGGAAACCAACCGCAGGTAAATCTCTAAGTCATGTTACTCATCGGAGGGCATACTCACACTACTGTAGGGCTTTTTCCACCAAGCTCGGGACGTTATTGCGGCCAGATTCATCCAGGTGCGAGCCATTATTCCAGTCAGATGCATTCTGGAAAGTACTGGTGTGAACGTGCCCTGAGTCGATCAGGATTCGAACTCAGATCTGCATTTCAACAGTTGATGGCTGTACCAACTGAGTTAGGTCCGTGGTCCAGTGCCTATTTCCCTTTAAAAAGGGAAACGGCCTTGGGATATCATCATCGAACTGGCTGGCCCCAGGTAATTCAGAATTCTTTTATTCTGTGCATCTGGTTAACATCTGGATTGGAACCCAGGTCTGTACTTCGACAGTTCATGGCTGTACCGACTGAGCTAGGCCCATTTGTCCATTTTGCCTATATTCTGTCCAAACCCAAACTCCATGATTTGCATGATTTGAAAGATTTGCATTTCTTGTATCCTTTGTATGAAACAAATGGACCTGCAGCAGCCACGCTGCGGTGAAGGACGTTTACAAAAACATTTGCGAAACACCCCGGACACCGGTTGGACCCGGTCTTTGCAATGTACCCCTATCGGACACCGTCCAACTTCGCAAAATGCCTCGGTAGTTGCCAACTTTTCGTAGGTGCAATTGCAAAAGGCCAAGGCCCAAATGGGGAGGCTGACATTGCAAATTTGCACACGCGGCTGACAGGGGCATAACACAAAGATGTCAGCCCAAAAGGCCATTCTACTGTACCGAGATCTTTCAGGGACATTTTGAAATACATCTCAACTTATGGGAGTATTTGGCAAATTACCACCGCCCCAAAAAAGGCCGATGGCATCTTTTCATCATTTGGAGGAAGATATGCCAGTCTTCTCTCTCTCTCTCTCTCTCTCTCTCTCTCTCTCTCTCTCTCTCTCTCTCTCTCTTGTGCCCCTCGCACGCACATACTTCCCCTTGTGCGACCTCCTCTCCCTAGCGTGACCTCCTCGTCCCCCCTCGTGGCCCCCTCCTCCCACTCGCACAAACTCCTCCCCCTAGCGTGACATCCCCCTCCTACTGGTGTGAACTCCTCCTCCCCCTCCTGCACGACCTCCGCCAACCTTTCATCCCAGCGTGCGACCTGTTCCTACCCCTCCCATGACCTCCTCCCCCCCCGTGCACAACCCACTCCTCTTCCTCTTCGGACCTCCTCCTCCCCCTTGCGGGACTTCCTCCTTCCTTTCATGGGACCTCCTCCCCGTCCTTGCGCAACTGCTTTTCCCCCTTGCACATCATCTTCCGACCTCCTCCTCCCCATCACGCGACGTTCTCCTACCTCTCTTTTGACCTCCTCCAGCCCCTCCTCCTCCTTGCGCGACCTCCTCCTCACCTCTCACGTGTCCTCGTCCGACCTCCTCATCCCACTCGTGCGACCTCCTTCCACCTCCCTTCCGACCTCCGCACGACCTCCTGCAACCTCTTGTCCTCCTCGTGCGACCTGCTCCTCTCCCTCGCACTACTTCCTCCTCCCCCTTGCACAACCCACTCCTCCCCCTCTTTCGACCTCCTCCTCTCCCTTGTGCGACCTCCTCCTAGGCTCCTCCCCCTCTTGCGACCTCCTGCTCGTCCTTGCGCGACCCGCTCCTCCCCCTCACACATCATCTTCCAACCTCCTCCTCCCCCTCGCGCGACTTTCTGCCCCTCTTCTGACCTCTCCCTTGCTCGACCTCTTTCTCCCCCTCACACAACGTCCTCCTAATCCTTGTGTGTGACCTCCTCCCCATCACACGTCCTCCACCCACCTCCTCATCCCCCTCGCACGACCTCCTCCTCCTCCTCCCCCTCACACAACCTCCTCCTCCTCCTCCCCCTCGTGCGACCTCCTCCTACCCCTCGCGCGACCTCCTCCTACCCCTCGCGCGACCTCCTCCTACCCCTCGCGCGCCCCCCTTCTCCCCCTCGCACGACTTCCTTCCCGTCTTCTGACCTCTCCCTTGCTCGACCTCTTCCTCCCCCTCACACAACGTCCTCCTAATCCTTGTGCGACCTCCTCCCCCTCACGCATCCTCCACCCACCTCTTCATCCCCCTCGCACGACCTCCTCCTCCTCCTTGTCACGATGTCTGCTTCCCCCTCGCATGACCTCCTCCCACCTCTCTTCCGACCTCCTCCTCCTCCTTGTCGCGACGTCCGCTTCCCCCTCGCACAACCTCCCCCTCCTTGTGCGACCTCCTCATCCCCCTCGTTCTGACCTCCTCCTCCCACTTGCGCAATGTCCTCCTCCCCCTGGCAACCTCCTCCCTACATCCTCTCCCCTCCTCCATGAATTCTCGTCGTCTGCCATGCTTATCGTCCTCCTCCTTTTCGTCCCTCTTTCTCCTTTTGTTCCATCCTCCTCCTCTTTCCTCCATTCTCATGGTCCCCTTGCTCCTCTTTTTCGTTGTTCCTCCTCGTCCTCGCTGCTCCTCATGCTGCCTCCTTTGTTTCGATCGGCTCAAACATTCTTCTCCCTCTTCATCCTCCCTCTTTCTCCCACCCTTCCTGCTCTGAGCGCACATGTGCCACATGCCCCAAATGTCTTTCTCCCTCTTCCTCCTTCCTCCTCCTGCGTTGATCCTCCCTCGTCCATCACATCTTTCCATTGCCACCCTTTTCCACATCGATGCGGCCCCCGCCCGGCACCACGGACTGGCGGGAAACAGAACTGAATGGGGGGGTTGAAAGAAAAACAGTGGCAGCGGGGAATGGGACTTTGTGTCCTCCCGACACTGCAGAGCGGGGCGTGTAGCGTGGAACCGCCACACCAATTTCCCTCACTCCCGCCCGCAGGCCCACCACGAAACACCGCGGCCGATTTACCTTGCCCCAGTCCCGCCCGCCTCCACATCGAATTTCGCTGGGCCCAGCGGGAAGCCTCACGCTGGGCCCTTTGCATTCTTTAAGAGTATAGGGATAAGACAATTTCAAAATCATGTTATTCATCGGTACAGGGGAAACAAAACAAAAAAACAAAACAACAGGAGGCGGTCCGAAAAGACAGACAGAAAGAAGAACGGGAAGAGAGAGAGAGAGAGAGAGAGAGAGAGAGAGAGAGAGAGAGAGAGAGAGAGAGAGAGAGATGTACAGCTGCTTAGCGAAACTCTGAAACTGCCTCTGTGTGGTATTCGAGAGAAAATCATTGTTAAAATGGCATTTGTTTGAAACATGAACTGGATTCCCGGCCTCCTCCTCCTTTTTTTCTGTTTAATGAAATGCAAAGTTGGTGTAAAAAAAAATTAAAATAATAATAATAATAATAATAATAATAAAAAACATGAACTGGAAGAAAAAAAGAAAATTGGAGATGAATTCAATTTTGGAGTAGAAAAACGTAGAAGTGTTTGGTGAACCAAAAATGATTTTGCCTACACAAATTAAAAGGGATATGCAAAAATAAACTAGTGGCTGTCGTTGCATCCACCTGCACTGCAGTTTTGCGGCTTTTGCCTCCTTTGTATAGCCCCCACCCATATGTGAAAGAGCTACATTTCTTCCTAAGCCTACGCTCCCTTGGACTGCCCTCTCTTTTTTGGGGTTGTCTTCATCTCTCCCTGTTTGATTTTTTTCCTTCCCTTGTGTATCATCCTCTCCTCCTTGCAACAATTTGTGTGTGTAGAAAGTGGCCGGAGTACGGATTCAAAGCACGGGGTTGTCTTCATCTCTCCCTGTTTGATTTTTTTTCCTTCCCTTGTGTATCATCCTCTCCTCCTTGCAATAATTTGTGTGTGTGCAGAAAGTGGCCGGAGTACGGATTTAAAGCACACAAGGGCTATGGAACAGCTGCGCACATGGCAGCGATAAAGACGCACGGGCCATGCGAGATCCATCGCCGGACATTCGCTCCCATCAATAAGTATGTGTGATTTCGGCGGGAGGAACTGTGGCAGCGGCTTTGTCCGCACATCCTTCGGTGTGGCTGTCATTGGATATTAACGAGGATTATTGTTAAAAAAAAAAAAAAGGGGGGGGGGGGTCTGTACCATGGGGGGTGGTATGGCCAAGTTACCCACAAAAATGGTTTTTTGAGGCCAGCGTTATTCAGAAAGTGAAATTTTGCAAGGAGTGGTCATTGCGAGCGAATCGGTATCTGGTATAGGGTCATTGCGAGTGAATCGGCATATTTCTTATTTTTACTTTGTCATTGCAGGTGTAGCAGTGATTGTTATGAATTTATTATTTTGAATCAGTTATCGAAATCTTTATCATATGAGGGTGGAATGGTGGGAGGCTGCGCAGGTGGAGAGGGAGGGAGAGGGAGGGTGAGGAGTGTGGGAGGCAGGAAGGCAGGACACAGATATGCATGGAGGGAGGGAGGGAGGGAGGGAGAGATGTTGGGGGAAGGGAGAGAGGGAGGGATGGTGAGGAGGAGTGTGGGAGGCAGGAAGGCAGGAGAAAGAGATGCACAGAGGTGGGGACGGAGGGAGGGAGGGAGCGAGGGAGGGAGGGAGGGAGGGAGGGCGGTTGTTGACTTGCTGTGTAGGTTCATGTTTCCCTTCAGATGTATGGTTAGAAAAATGGCCATTGTTTGAAAAGGTCGCACCATCCATCAGCATGTGAGGGAGAGGTCCCCTTCTGTGGGAATATGGATCCAAGATCGCAATACCATCTCAATCTTATAGAGGAAGATTCTGAAAGGACTTCCAGAATTATCCATTTGAATGTGTTGGACAGCATGTGTTGGCCGGACCGAGATTCGAACCCGCAACCTGCCCAAGTATTTTCACTGGATTTCAAGTTCTTCGCTGTTTCGCGCTCGCGGAATTCTGAACACGAAATTTGACTGTAGGAAATATGTTGACTCAGGCTAGGCTAGATTCTTTTTTTTGGGGGGGGGCAAGGCTAGACTCTTTTTTTTGGGGGGGGGCTAGGCTAGACCATGGTAGCCGCGAACCCGGACACCGGACACTTCCGGACTGTCTTCCGGACCAGTGTCTGGACCGGTCCGGACTGTCCGGTGTCCCGTGATGTCTGGTGTCCGGTGATGTCCGGATCACCGGACAGTCCGGACCGGTCCAGACACTGGTCCGGAAGACAGTCCGGACGTGTCCGGTGTCCGGGTCCGGGGTTACCATGCCTGGGCCGCCGCTTTTTTTTTTTTTTTTTTTGCCCCAGGGGCCTACATCCAGACATGGGGACCGGACACCGGACACCAGACACCAGACACCGGACTGTCTGGAACCCGGTCCGGACATCCGGGCGGTTACCATGGGCTAGACTCTTTTTTTTTTTTTTTTGGGTAGGCTATACTCTTTTAGGTATGTAGAATCTTTTCTTTCTGTTTTTAGGGTTTTTTACTTTGGAAGTTTGAACACGGAATCTGACTGCGGCCTAGCTCATTAGTCGGGCTATATGACCAACAAGCATGTGAGTGTGAGCGTGAGTGCGTTGTGTGCGGTGTGTGGGACAGTGTTGGCCATATTCACTGCTGCTATTTGATGGGGGCGGGGGGGGGAAGTAGATGGGAGGGTGCAGCTACTGGCAAAATGCTCGGTCTTTGCGTTAGGCGCCCCCCCCCCCCCCCCCCCCCCCCCCCCGCCCCTACTCCCTGACCACTACCGATTAGGGCAGAGGGCTACACGCATCCCCTTAATTGTGAGAGGTCGCTACGCTTGCAGGGGTCCCCTGTCTACGCTTAGGAGTAGTGGTAGGTAAATAGTGAAAGGTGACATCGAGAGAAGAATATAGCGTAGTAAAAAAAAAGGGAAAAAAAAAGAAATCTGACTGTAGGAAATCTATTGACTCAGGCTAGGCTAGACTCTCTCTCTCTCTTTTTTTTTTTTTTTTTTTTTTTTTTTTAACATCCGCTGAGACTGTTACCTGAGATGATATGAGCATCATCAGGTACCATACCCCTGCGATGGCTCCTTCCAGGTCTGTAGAATCTTTCTTCCCTTTTTCTGAGTTTCTGACTTGAACAGATCTGGTACGCCTAGAATAGGCAGTGGCACAGGAAGGGAGATGAGCAGGGGGAAGAAAGGGCCTACTGGTGCCCCCCAGTGGCCCTGGCTGGCCCCCGGTTTCCCCAGCAATAGGCATTTTTCAGGCACAAAGTGGTTTTGGCACAGAGCAATTCCTCATGTACACAAGGGACGTTGGACCCGTTTTGCAGCAGGTGATGCTCCCCACCAATAGATTGAGCGGCCAGCAGTGGGCTTGCTAGGGGAGGCTGCTCATATCAGCCCCCCTAGTAGGCCTGCTATGGCCTGTTACCAACAAAAAAAAAAAAAAAAAAAAAAAAAAAGAAAGTACGCCTAGGGCAGGTGTAGCTTGTCAAAGGGAGCTACGGCCTTAGGAACTACTACCATGTTCCCCCAAACACAAAACACCCTCATTTTGGCTGTACCTGACCCTTTTTTTTTTCCTTTTTTTTTTTTTCGAAAAGCACCCCTGCAGTGCTAGTGGTGCTGACAAGGCCAGACACCAGTAGCACCCGGGGGGAGGCTCCATCTATTGGTGGGGAGCATCACCTGCTGGAAAATGGGTCCAGCGTCCCATTACAGAATGCATTGCAGAATGAATACAGACTGGATCAAGAGAACATGACTGTGAAACCTGCCAGCATTGAATGCTCTGGCCACCAGAGGATTGACTGTGCAGGTTGTTAAGGAAGGGGAGAAAACCTCTTCGCCCTAGCATCAGGCGCCAGATATCTACTTGCTAAGAAACTAGTCCCTCCCTCCTACTTTTGTTTTTTATTAAACCCTCCCTTTTCCTTTGCCCAGGTGCGTTGTGTCGGGGGAAGACGGTAGTAAGCGACTTCCATTCAGAATTCACCATTCGTAAAGTTTCGGTTGCTGGTAGAACCGGCAGGTCCCCTTTGATCATGCCACTACCGTCTTCACTGGGTCACATTATTGCTGCACCTAGACTGAAAGTTGCACCAAATGCGGCTATAATGACAGGGTATTCTATTCGGGTGAAGATGGTAGGGAATTGATTCAAGCGGTGATTGGACAATGATTTGAAAACTTTGTCGCATTTCTTCGATGTGGACACAACAGTGATCTTTTTTTGTCCAGTCTTTCCTTGTTTTTTTTTGTTGAAAAAGCAACTCCTTACTGTTATGATCAAGGCACCTTCGGCCAAGTTCATACCACAGTCGCAGTTGCATTATATTGGCCAGAAACTGGGTTCGGTGTCCCTTATGAAATGCACAAAGCCCCTGTCGAGGCTAACAGCAAGCCACGTTCACGGGACCACGACATAAGAATGATAAGATACACCCAACGGCGTCACAGCCAACGTACCTGATGGGAGGACCCAATGCAAAACCTACACATGTGAGGTCAACGAACTCCCTCCTTTGAAAAAAAAAAAAGGGCGATATCGTAGTTGAGCTGACTTGCCCCCGTAATTCAGAAATTATTTTGTCATTCATCATCTGGATTCAAACTTGGTCTGCATTTCAACAGTTCATGGGTGTACCCACTGAGGCGCATTGGTAGACACAACAATGATCGTAGTGATCGCCTCATGTGCTTTTTTCTCTCGGGTTTAAGGAGCTATTAGGTGCAGCCAGAGCCAGTGGGACTTTTTTCTTTTTTTTCCCAGAGCCACCTTGATGTTCACTGTGGACAGTTTCATTAGCCGATTGCCGTTGCATGTTTGTTTGTTTGGCTTTTGGTTTTGGTTGTGGTTTGGTTTGGTTTGGTTTGGTTTGGTTTGGTTTGGTTTGGTTTGCTTTTCGTGTTGCATGTTGTTCGGGGGCTCAGTTCTTTCCTTCTTTCTTTTGTTCATTCTACTCTTCTCTGTATTGTTCCACTTCACGGATGTCTTGAAAGGACCCGGAGTTCGGGAAGGCAGGGGGCTCAGTTCTTTCTTTCTTTCTTTCTTTCTTTCTTTCTTTTGTTTTGGCTTGGCGAAATGCCTTGAAATTTTATATGCATGTAGCACATGTCATACAGAACTCACAAAAAAAAATCAACAAAAAATATTTTTTAGGCCCCGAAACAAGTTTTGGTGGGGGCCGAACCCCTTCAGGTTCGGACCCCGAACGGGACCCTGAGCGCTCGAACATTCAGGGGTCAGCCCGGGTGCCCCTGAATGTTCGGCCTGGTAACCATGTATGTATATATATGTGTATATAGGCAGACCATCTTGCTTTATGCTCCTGCTCTGGGAAGCCTGGCTATTCGCAACATACTTGTATGAAACAGATACGCCGAGATTTTTTGTCACAGCACCTCTTTTGTCCTTTTCTCCCTCTCTGCCTACAGTTTACCGGACAGCTCTGTTTGGCGACGATATATATATTTATATATTATAGTCAAACAGAGCTGCCCGGTAAACCGTAGGCAGAGAGGGAGAAGAGGACAACAAACGAGGGGTTGTGGCAAACTGTTTCGTCGGAGTTTCACCGACTCATCAGGAGGCTGAACCCTCAACAGTCTGCAGAATCCCCTAACTGATTACACTGTAAGTGATAATCCACCTTAACCCCGGTTGTGGTAGCATCAACAACTGTCCGACAACTGATACCCTGAGGTCTTACCAACCACTGCCCTCAAGGTACCTGTGGCAAAAGTCAAAGCAGACTATATATATATATATATATATATATATATATATATATATATATATATATATATATGAAACTCCGA